AGCACTTGGGAGGCTGATCAGCAGGATTGCTGTGAGTCTGAGGCCAGCCTGAACTGCATAGTGAGACCTTGTCTCAAAAAAAACAAAAAAAAACAAGAGCGAGCGAGAGAGAAAAGAATAGAATTCAGGAACTATGCTAGGTGCAGAGGTGCATACCTGTAACCTCAGCACTCAGAAAGCTGAGGCAGGAGGAGTCTGGGGCCAGCCAAGGCTACACAAGCAAGTTCAAGTTTAAGGCCAGACTGCACTACATAGTGAGACCCTGTTGCTAAAAAAAAAAAAAAAAATCAAGGACTGTTGTTCTCAGGGATCCTTTCTGGAGAATTCACTAGACAATGAGTCTGAAACATCCAAAAATAAAAAGTAAATTTAAAAAATAATAACTATAGAGGGAAACAGCAGGAGAAGGTGGAAGTGAAGCAGTCACTTTCCCACAAAAGCTCAAGCTTGACAGTAAGGGCTGCAAGGCAAATGATACAATGAGCTGCAGGATCACCCCAACTTGTCCACCTATGACATTTGTCTTATATCATGAAAACAGAGAAACTTGCAGGATGATGGGAGAGTGATGAACAGCAGAGAAACAACCTCTTCATTTGGTGTCCAGACACTGGAATAAAAGGAGGGAAGTGGGTCCCTTGGGTCCCTGGGACCTAGAAAGGATCTGAAGCTAGAACTGAACACCATGGGGAGGGCAGAGAGAGACTTCAATGGAGAAGGTGGAAGCAAATGGTGCTTTCTCCAAGCCCTGAGTCACTGCACGTGAAAGGCAGACTGAACCTGCAGACGTGACTACTGGCAACCTCAGAGGCCTCCACAGAGAAATGCACCAGTGGAACAACGCAGTGGACACAGCACACTGCAGTAGATGGTGAGTTATTTGGGTTCAGATATAGCCCAGCAGATGGCGACTGGCTGGTAGCCATCTTGGACATGGGCCAGCTGAGCTTTGAACTCAGAGCAGCTGTGGGATCCCTCCATCTAGCAGCTCCCAGTGTCTGGGCGAGGTGGAATTGGGTTCAAGTTGGCAGGAGGTGGAGGAGCCTAGTTCAAGCCAGCAGGAGGCATATGGAATGTTGCAGGCTGAACAAATCAGTTCTAGCCTCACAGCCAGAAACTGGCCTGAACTTTAGTGGAAGTAAAGGTGCAGGCTTGCTGGGATTATGCACTACCCCACTGTAAATCTACAGCTGGCTTGCTGGGATTAATCAACATGAATCCAGGCTCTGCCCAATTTGTCTACCAGTGACAGTAGATTCAGCCCTTGACATGGACATTTTTTTCTTATTTTCTTCACCTTTTTGTTTTGTCTTCTTCATTGCTCTTATTTTATATGAGTGTGAACATTTCTTCTAGTTTTGTTATTGTTCTATTCTGGTTTTCATTCTTGTCTTCATCCTGTCTTCTTTACCAGTTTCCCAAAGTTTGCATAATCTTCCTTTGTCTTCCAGCCTTGCCTCTAATCTCTTCTTCTTTTTCTGTTTCTCTTTTTTTTCTCCCTAACCCCTTTTAAATTTTTTCCCCTAAGGATAAAATTGCCACATTGAGGACATATTTACTGTATAGAATTTTCTGATTTGTTTTAGATTTTGTTATAGAAGCACAAATATAGTTCACATGGTTAAAGGTAGCAAATTAATAGTCACCACATTTTGTTATTTTCTAGATTGTGTTTGATGCTATTGTTATTGCTAATTGTATTACTTTATCCCAGGTGACATAATTATTCTAATCAGTGTTCTTCTTGGGATGCCAAGACTGAGATTGCCTAAGGGTCATAAACAACACAAGAGGCCAGTGCCAAAGGCTAGGCCAAGTAGGCAGCAACTTATCATCAATAAACTGAAGGGGTAGGATCTTGCAAAAGATTCAAAACCCAAAAGCCAGCTACACATGGAAGAAATTTATGAGAAACAGTTATTTCCTAAGGGTTCTAAATACTAGCAATAAAGCTACTTGCCATAAACAATTTAGAAGCATCAAAATAAGAATTAAACTGAAAAAAAGAAAGGAAAAGATGAGAAGACACTTAAGAAGATACAACCCCAGACTTTCAGCTCACCAAAGACAAACCGAGGGGGCAATAAGGTGGAACAATTTGAAAGCCACCCACCTGGACACTGAAATATTAACAGCAGAAGTAACAAAGCAGTTGAATGAGGTGCTAGGAAAAAATCAAATCACAAACAATTTCTCAGATAACTATAGAGATCATGACCATAATGCAAGACTTGGTTAGTGACTCTAGAGCAGATAAGATAAAAAAAAAAATAGAGAAACTTAGCAAAATAATGGAAACCATGAGTGTCCAACATAGGAAAGAAATAGAATCCATAAAACAGATTCAAACAGATATACAGAAGATTAAATATTCCATTTAAAGCATACACAGCAGAATGGCCCAATGTGAGGATAGAATCTCAGGTACAGAAGACAAGATTGCAGTTAACAATCATAAAAAGGAAGATTTCTCAAAAATAACAAGGGACCATGAGAAACCAATCCAACAGCTGCTAGATGATGCAAAGAAGAATAACGTGAGATGATCAGTGTCAATGAAAAAGCAGGAGATAGCAAGGTGTGGTGGTGCATGCCTGTAATCCCAGCACTCAGGAGGCTGAGGCAGGAGGATCGTTGCGAGTTTGAGACCAGCCTGGGCTACAAAGTGAGTTCAAGGCCAGCCTGAACTGCATAGTAAGACCGTGCCTCAAAAAGACAAAAAGAAAAAAAAAAATACAAATGACATAAAAAACCTATTCACAAAAGTAATGGCAGAACACTTCCCAGTCATGGAAAAAGAATTTGACATAAAGTTAAGTAATGCATGTAGAGCTCCAATTAGCTATGGTAAAAAAAAAATCTACAGCAAGGCATATAATAGTTAAGATTCCAGGGTGGGGGATACAGCTCAGTGGCACAGTGCTTGCCTGGCAAGGGTGAGGTCCTGAGTTAAATTCCCAGTGCCAAAAAAAGGTCAAGATTCCAGAAATTAAACATGAGAATAAAATATTAACAGGTGTTAGAGAAAAGAAACAAATCACCTATAAAGGAAAGCCCATAAGAATCACAGCACACTTCTCAACATAAACCCTCAAGTCAAGGAGGGCTTGGAGCAAAGTATTTCATGTCTTAAAAGAAAACAACCTCCAATCCAGCTATTCTCCTTGGTATCTTCCTAAAAGAATTAAAAGCATCATACCACCACAATATATGCACACCCATGTTTATAGTGACACAGTTTGTAACAGCCCAAATGCCCATCAGCTGATGAATGGATAAAGATGATGTGTAGTTTTTCTTTTTTATACAATGGAAGTACTACTCTGCCATAGAGAAGAATAAGCCTGAGATACTTCTAGCTAAATGGATGTTCCTCGAGATGATACTCCTAAGTGAAATACATTGGAGACACCTTTAAATACCACATTGTTTCTCTGGTGTGAGAAATTAAAAGTGTAAATAAGGATTGAAATGCATAATAGATATTGAGAAATGGGAAGAAAATGTTCAAATGAGAAGGGGAACAAGGGAGAGGTGAGGAGGAGAGGGAAGAAGTGACAAGTAAAAGAATAGACAGAAAAAAATGTAAATAAGGAGCGGGGAGGGGCTGAAGGGGGGATGGAAATGGGAAAAAAGAAGTAAGATAATCATTTATGGGTACAAATTCCTCATAATGAATATCATTATGTATATCTAAAATGTACCAATTTTTTAAAAAGATAAAAACAAAACCTTATTTGATTTTTAAAAAGTGATATTGTAGAAGTGTATTCAATGACACAAGGAAACAGGTATCAACTGAAAAGAGCAAATTATAAAATTTTTTAAGGACAATCAATATTTAAGTATAACCATTAATATTTCAACAGCAGTCTTCTCTAGATGATGGGAATATAGGGTTTTAAATTATGGGAAGCTGGGATATTTTTCTGTATTTCTCTTGTCACTCCCAAGAGGAATAAAATCATGTCATAATAAAGTTTCTCCGGCAATGAAGTCCAAACTGGATTGGAAAATATGAACTTTTATACAGAAGCAAGTTGTATTATAACAACAACTTAACATATTTGGCAAGATCTACAAAATTCCAACTGTAGTTAGAAAGAAAATACATACTTGTACTTTTAATTTTTGCACCTTTTTTTTTTTGAGATAGGGCCTTGCTATGTAGTTCAGGCTGGCCTGGAACTCACTTTAGAGCCCAGGCTGGCCTCGAACTCACAGAGATCCTCCATATATATATATATATTTGTAATGTTTTCATAGTTAGGAATCACAATGACTATGGATTTTTCTTATCTGGGCAATCTACTATGCATATCAACTGTAGACTGAAGATTTAAAAAAAAATCACTCAATCTCAATTAGGTAAGTGAGACCACCTTTTAGATAGCAGACTTTTTTCTGTTTTAAAATTAAAAACCGTTTTAAATTACATACAAAGTAATACATTGAAAAACATACCAATGAGCCAAAACCTAGAGTCCAAAAATGTTCATTTCGGACTTCTAAAACTCCATCCAAGGTAGATACCTAATCAACAACATATAAGGAAGTAATCAATATTTTTCATTATGGACTTGATTTAAGCCTGTAAATGACATGCCTAAACCCTATACAAGGATACTCATGAGCTAAGAGAAATCTCTGGCACTTGAGGTACCACCACTTCCTGCTTGGTGAGTAGTGACCCAAGCTGGGTCCATCCTTCTAGAACGAGGTCATAACTGCTCAGTCTTAAACATGTCCTCTCCCACCATTCAACAATATATGACACCTCTTTTGATTTTATCAGTATGTGAGATCATTATTTTTACTGCCATCATTTCTTTCTCTGGATTTCCTCATAACAAATCTCTGAACACAGAATACTATCTGGATGACCTGTCAGGGTACTCCAACGGCAGTCAGAGTGTGCTGCACATGGGCACAGTGGCCCAGCAGGCGCATCCAGGGCCAGACTTCACTAGCTGAGACAGGTCATCAACTATGCTGGGAAAAGCGGCCTTTGTGATACTGACAACCAAGAGTTTAGAATAGTCCCAATATCTTGTTTTGTCATTAGATAACAGGTTAAAATTTGTAACAAAAAGTCTAAGTTCACAGAATATGTTCAGTGGTAAAATGTCATGTAAAAGTGAATTTTGATTTTTATCAAATCCTACATTTAAATATAGAATCAGAAAAGTCACAGTATTTATGCAGCTCACAGGCAGGCCTTTAGACCATTTTCTTCTACATTATTTTTAAAAGACAGGATGTTTAGTTTGTCTTATGCCTTCTATACTTCAAGAAAATTTGGTTTTCAAACTGAGCAACTCCTCAAATTTTTCTATTTTTGTTTCTATGTTACATCTTTTATCGTGTTATAAAGAACAAAACACCCCTAGAATAAAATTCTAGGTAGCATTTTTATTTTATTTTATTTTATTTTATTTTTTGTCGTTTTGAGACAGGGTCTTGCTATGCAGTTCAGGCTGAACTTGAGCTCACTTTGTAGCCCAGGCTGGCCTCAAACTCACAACAATCCTTCTGCCTCAGTCTCCCGAGTGCTGGGATTACAGGCGTGCGCCAGCATGCCCGGCTTTCTAGGTAGCACTGAATAAAGTATTACATGTACCACTCTTTCATTTCCTTAGCATAAATTAAAATGATTTTATTTACCATCACACCTTACCTCTCTGATAAGTTTGTCCAACTGACCAATAACATGGGGTGGTGTTGTCTGGGGAAAAAGAAAAGAAAATATGGATAGCCTAGAGAGAAACAATCTTGCAACAATGGTCCTGAAATCCCCTCAAGTGGATTTTTTTTTTTTTTTACCAAGTGGATTTTGAACCAGACATTGCTTTTGCCATGTCCCTATCATGATTTAAGGAAGGGAGGTTTCAACTGGCTCACTATAGACAACACGTTTGTTTATTGTTGTTTTTTAAATCTCACAAACAAGATTATATCTCCAGAAACAAATACAACTTAAAAGATCAACCAGCCAACCAACAAAAATCTTCAAGAAATGGCCAAAAAAGTAACATTTTGTATAGGGTGTATCACTATGCAATTATCACTTTCTCGTTATTAATTCTTTTGGAAATGAAGCTACTGTTCCTAGCTAGGTTTTAGAAAAGGCACCAGGGTAAGAGACCAAAGGAAGAACAGTGCTTACATACATTTCCTGCCCTGGAAGACCACCTCTTTTTTAGAAATTTCTTTTTGGTACCGGCAATAGAACTCATGATGTCACACTTGCCAGGTAGGTGCTGTGCCACTGAGCTAAATCTCCAGCCCCTACATTTTTGGTTTTTTGAGACAGGGTCTTGCTGCATATTCTAGGCTGGCCTTGATCTCACTATGTTGTCCAACTGGCCTCAAACTTGCAGGGATTCTTCTGTCTTGGCCTCTTAAGTACTAGGATTACAGGCAGGTGCCACCACACCTGGCTAGGAAAACACCTTTCTATTAAGGGGTTCATTTATACATGTTCTTACTGTTTCACTGAGTAGCAATTTATCATCTTTTATTTTAAGTCAAAAATTTAAAAGTCTCACTGATCCAGTGACACGAAATAAGAAAACAATCATAATCAGATTATACAAGAGCCAAAACACATTACTGAGGGAAAATAAGTATCTATAAATTTTAAGTAATATTGTTTTTGCTTAAAATATCATTAGAGGGAAACAAGTTTAAATTCATGATTGTATGTTACAGAAACACAGAAGAGTTTGTGGCTACTTTATTAGTCAATGGAATTCTACCTAGTTCTTACTATATGAATTTCAGACATTATTATTTGATTTCATTTCTAACAGGCCTCCAAATGCTCAGGTCTTACAATCTGGTAGAAGAAAATGTACATTTCAATTTGGTAGGAGAACAGTACTAGTGCTGATTCCATGTGGATTCCAAGACTCTTACCTGAAGCAGTACTTTGCCACTGTACACACTCATGGGATACATAGTGCCAAATGTCATCAGGGCAATGGCTATTGCAGAAGCAGTGTCTACCGCGAAGTAATTACTAAAAGGAGAAAACAATTCTAAATTTTAAATGATGTTTCATGGTCATCTTACAATTCAATCTACTGAACAATAGAATTAGTTTTCTAAAGCAGAATTTTTTTTTTTTTTAATCACACATTTGCAATACAGGTAGGAAACTGCACAAAGGAGGAAAAAATTTTTAGAAGGCCTTCTTGTGAAAGTTTGGTGGAAAAATAATAATTATGTTAATTAGTATGAAGATAGATGATGATGAAAAACTGTCAGCACTTCCCCACTATGAATGCCTCAATCTTGTCACCTAGAAGGATTTCCTTCCATTTGCCCAAGACAGACAAAAAACTTGATCTAGTAATTTCTGAGAATAATGGCACTAATTAGTGATTCTATCAATTTTCCTATAAGGAATAACTGTTTCAATAAAAACTTTAAATGTCTCCAAAATGTGACTCTCCAGGAATTTGTTACAGCAACACTGAGGCAGAACTGCAACATTTTATGAACTGCGACATTTTATCAACAGTGCAGACTCTGCTGAAGTTCTATTAACAAGACAGACCAAAGTGTCAATGGTTACAAGCTGATCTTGCACTCTTCACTTTTTGCCATTTGCTGACAAACATGAGTAAGACATAGATCCTGTCTTAGCAATAGCAGGATATACAAAAAGAGAAAGAAAGACAGAGAGAGAGAGAGAGAGAGAGAGAGAGAGAGAGAGAGAGAGAGAGACAGAGAGAAAGAAAGAGAGACAGAGAGACAGAGAGAAAGAGAGAAAGAGAGAAAGAGAAAGAAAGAAAGAAAGAAAGAAAGAAAGAAAGAAAGAAAGAAAGAAAGAAAGAAAGAGAACGAACGCACTCTGGATTTTAAAGTAAAAATCTCTAAAGGGTGTCATGGACACACAAAAGATTGAGTGACAAGGCTACTAGCATGGGGATAATCCAGAAAGGATAAGTATAAAGAGGAGGTCAGCCTTTAAGGACAGTTCAGATAAAGGCAGGAAGACATTCTAGACCCAGTGCTGTCGAACCTAGGGCATGCGTGTTACAGTGGGATGTTTGCATCAGTAAAAGCTCTAAAAGGTTCGCCATCACTGTTCTAGACAGTGAAAGCCACAGGAAAACCCTGATGCAGCAATGAAACCACAAACTGTGTACAGATGGATGGTTAATACGGTTGTTAGAGGCCTGATTCTGCTTTTAATTTTTTACCAATATGCAAAGGGGAGGGGTTTGAAACAGGAAAATATTATGTCCCAATTGGTGATTTTGAATGATCGTTTTAGGTAACAAAACAGAACTAAAGATAAGTGTGAATCAAAATTAGAATATTAGATTATTCTACTTAGGCCAAGAAATGATGATAAAAGCCTTAGTTGGGACAGCAAAATGGGAAAGGAGAGACCAAAATTCAGGAAAGACTAAATAATACTTGGTGGCCGGGCAAGGTGGTACACGCCTGTAATCCCAGCACTCAGGAGGCTGAGGCAGGAGGATGGTTATGAGTTCCAGACCAGCCTGGGCTACAAAGTGAGCTCAAGGCCAGCCTGAGCTGCATAGGGAGGCCCTGTCTCAAAAAGACCAAAATAAATATACATACATACATACATACTACTTGGTGATCAGTTAGAACTTGCATGGAGAACAATGAGAAGGGAAGAGAGAGAAGAATACGTTGGAGTTTCTCAAAAAAGTAAATACAGAATTATCATGGTCCAGCAATTCCACTACTAGGTATAAACCCTCAACAATGGAAAGCAGGGACTCAAGCAAATATTTGCACACCCAAGTTCAGAGTGTCACTATTTACAACAGCCAAAAAATGAAAACAATCTGAATGTTCATTTATACATGAATGGGTAAACTAAATATGGTATTTTCATATAATGAAATGTTATTGGCCTTAAAGAGGAAGAAAATTCTAACACACTACATAATGGATGAAACTTGTAAATATTATGCTATGTAAATAAGACCATCACAAAAAGGCAAATACTGTATGATTCTACTTATATGAGGTTCCTTAGTTGAAGTTAAGAGGCCCAGGAAGTAGAGTGGCAGTTGCCAGTGATGGTGGGTACAGTGACTGTGGGGAATTCTGGTTTAATGCATATACAGTTTCAGAGGTTCTGGACATGGATGCTGGTGATGGTTACACAAAAATGTGAATGTACTTACGCCACCGAACTGTACGCTTAAAACTGGTTAAAATTATGAACTTTACGTTATGCATCATTTTATAAAACAATATTAAAAACAAACATTGTAATAGATATGAGCATCATTCACGGAAATAGGAAATACAAGAAAAACTGTTTTGATGACACAAGAGAGTAGGTCCATCAAATCAGTCACGAACTGAAGTTATGAAGAAAAGGCATTTTAGAATTCAACAAAGATATGAGCTAGAAAGAGATTTAGGAATTCTCATAGCAGTGGTAAATCAAAATAAATAATTATATGTGATATTTAGGAGAACATGTAAAATAAGAACTTACTAAGGGCAGATTATAGTAATACTAATATAAGAATAACACTAATGAAAGACAGATTAAGGCACCAATACTTAAAAGGTAAGGAAGGCAAAGACTTGTGTCATACAATGTTTCGGTTAAAGGAGCTGTGATGTCTATTTCCTAAGAGCCTTTAATTCTTAAGAAATTGCTTGACACCTACTTCCTCTTCTCCTCCCTCTCCCAGCAATATCAGCTGCAGCTCAGATCTCTTTCTTACTGTCCTCTTCTCTGTTTCACTCAGCCGGGCAGCAGTGTAGAATCTGAATAGTTCCTAGCCTGTGTCTCAGATTATGGTAAGAAATACTTATACCCAAACTGCAGCCTCCTTAATTTTTCAGATGAAGAACCTGAGGACCAGATTTGACCAATGTTACACAGGTAACTGGCAATAATGCTAGAAGACTGAACCCAATCTTTTCTGTTGATGCCCTTAAAAGTCAGGCCCCAGGAATCAAAAACACACATAACAACAATAAAAAATACTTACTTAATTTCAATGAGCATGTAAGTAATACAAAGAGCAAATGCTCCAGCAAGATCAATCAGAACAAATGGATTCATTCGGGGAAGGAAGATGCTGCTAAGCCCTGGGATAATTCCACACAAGCTATAAAGAAACAAAGAGGGGCCATCAGAATTTACATCATAGCGATGAAAACCGTGTAAAAGATAACTTGTACTTTGGTATCAAATAATATACTTTGTTTTGAGACAGGGTCTCATTATGTATTTCAGGCTGGGCTTGAAATTGCAGGGATCCTCCTGCCTCAGACTCCTAACTTCTGGGATTACAGGTGTGCAGTGCCACCACACCTTGCCTTAATGTAGTTCTTAAAGAAAGCAAAAAGGACTTGAGAATAAGGCTCGTTCACTTACAAAAACAGGAAGAATAAGAATCTAATCTGTTCAGTTCACACAGTAACCTCAGCAATAAGTACGTCCCCACATTAGATAAATGCTTTTTAAATAATGCATATCATGAAATTCCATAACATCTTACCTCCGACTAAGATCTGCAACATGCTCTTGAAGCCAGCTCGTACTAGCAGCTTTAAGAAGAAAATATTTAAATTATCTATAATAGAAGAATTAATCACTTCTAGAAATACTTTAGTTCTTCCATTTTAAAAATAACTTTGGCAGTAACTGTGTATAGTTTCAGGAAGACTGCTATTCCTCAAACCTAGAACTTTTTTCTTTTCCACGTCCTTAAGATACTGAGTCAAAAGCAGTTCTGGGGGCCGGGGACACAGCTCAGTTGGACAGCACTTGTCTAACATGTGCAAAGCCTGGGGTTCTATCCTTAGTACTACAAAAACAAAAAACAACAAACAAGCCAGTTTCAACTACAACAGACAGCTGGTTTGAAGGGATCAATGAACTTATATCTGTCACTGCTGTTTTTTTGTGTGGTGCTGGGGAAGAACCCAGGGTCTCATGCGTTCTGGCCATGTGTTTTACCACCGAGCCACACTCCCAGCCTGAGGTTAAAGTGCTTTTTATGTTGTGAAACAGGCTTCTGAACTAGCATGTGAGAATGGGTTCTTTTCCAATTATTAACTTTCTCTGCTCTCAGTAAAGTCAGGTGGGAATCTGGATACATCCAGACACCTGCCAATGACAATCCCTGGGATAACCTCTGGGCTCAAGCATCCTCTTCTATTTATCCTAAAGTACTATATTAACTTTTTAATGTGTACCATGATGTAAAAAAAACTGGCAAGTCATATACAGAAGAATAGCAAAGCAGTTAAGAAAACATTAAGAGAGAGAGAGACAGACAGACACAGACAGAGAGACAGAGAGAACTGATGACCAGAACACTCGGCTTCAAATCACAAGTCTGCCCATAACTAGATGTGTGGCTTTGAGCAAGTGATTAAATGTCTTAGTGCCTCAGTGTAAAGTGGAGATAATAAAATTTTTACTTCATATAGTTATGGAGAGAATAATGGGTTTTTTTCTGTACTGGGAATTGAACTCAGGACCTGCGCTTGCCAGGCAGACGCTTATGCCGCTGAGCTATATCCCTGGCTTAAATGGGTTACTCTACGTATAGCAAGTTAGCACAGTAGTTGACATAGAAAGTGTTCACTACCATTTGCTACTCAAATTTCAAGTAATATATTACTTGAAAATCTTGGTATTTCTGAAAACCATTTTCAGCTAATAAAAAATACGAACTATATAACCCTATTAGAACTAAATTTGGTGATAGGTTTAAAACCTTTAAAAAAACATGGTAGTCTGGTAGCATAGCTCAGTGGTACAGTGCTTGCCTAGCATGCTTAAAGCACTGGAATTGACCCCTAAAATCATACACAGACACAAAATATTTTTAATACAATTGATAATTTCTCCTAAAGAAAAAACTAAAAACACACATAAAGAATTTGATATAAAGAGGCTAGTTATAATATTACATTTTAAAGGGAAAAACTGAAACATGTAAAAGAATGCTTTAAAATATTCACATGTCAAGTTATCATGCAAACACTCAAAAATCATTTGTTCAAAAAATATATGAGAGGCAGCTGTGTGTGGTGGCACATTCCTGTAATCCCAGCACTAGGAGGCTGAGGCAGGAGGGTTGTTGTCACAAGCTTGAGACCAGCCTGAGCTACAAAGTGAGCTCAAGGCTGGCCTGAACTGCATGGCGAGAGCCTGTCTCAAAAAAAAAAAAAAAAAAAAAAAGGCAATACAAAACATAAGGTTGATAGAACTTGGGAAAAAGGAAGAAAATGTTTAAATGGGAAGGGAACAAGGGAGAAGGAGGGGAAAGGGAAGGAAGGATTGGGATAAAAAATGGAAAGAAAACAACAGAAAAAAAGTTTTGTAAATGGAGAAGGGAAAAAGGATTAAAAGGAAGGGAGGGGAATGGGAAAAAAAGAATTAGGATATATCATGTACAGGTACAAATTTCCTATGATGAATGTGATCATTATGCATGTCAAAAGTACACCAATAAAATTTTATTTGAGTTTTCATTTTACTGGTACATTTAAGGTAGATATGACAACATTCATTATAGGGGGTTTGTTCCTGTATGTGATCGATCTTGCTTCTTCCTTTTTTCCCATTTCTCTCCCTCCCTTCAACCCCTCATGTCCTTATTTACAAAAGCTTTGTTTCCATTTTTCTCTCCTGTTCTCATATTTTTTTTTGTTTCCCTTCCTTCCTTTCCCTCTTGCCCCTCCCTTGTTTCCGTTCTCATTTGAACAATTTCTTCCCATTTCCCAATATCTATTATATATTTTGGTCCTTATTTACACTTTCAGTTTCTCACACTAGAGAAACAATGTGGTTTTTAAACTCGTGTCTAATTTATTTCACACAAGTTGCATCCTTTAGCTAGAAACGTCTCAAGCTTATCCTTCTCTACGGCAAAGCAGTATTCCATTGTGTAAAAAAAAAAAACAAAAAAACCCCACATCTTTATCCATTCATTGGCTGATTGGCATTTGGCTGTTTCCAAGATTTAGCTATTACAAACTGGTGCTATAAACATGGGTGTGCATATGTCACTGTTGTATGACGCTTTTAGTTCTTTTGGAAGGATACCAAAAAGGTGAACAGCTGGGTCAAATGAAATCTCTACTTTTAGTTTTCTCGAGGAATCGCCACAGTGCTTTCCACAGTGGTTGCACTAGTCTACACTCCCACCAACAGTGCAGAAGCATTCCTTTTCCCCATAGCCCCATCAGCATTCCTTACTTGTTGATTTCTTGATGATTGCCATTTTTGCTGGGGTGAGATGGAATCTCAGTGGTGTTTTAATTTGCATCTCTTAAATGACCAGGGATACTGAACATTTTTTCATATATTTATTTGCTGTTTCTACTTCTTCATCTGAGACTATCTATGCATTTCAGATGCCCACTTTTGGATTGGGTCTTTAAATTTGGGGGTTCTGATTTTTTTGGGTTCTTTATATATTCTAGATATTAGTCCTCTGTCTGAGGAACAGCTGGCAAGCACTTCTTCCTGCTCTGTGAGTTGTCTGTTCACTCTGTTGGTGGTTTCTTTTTTGTTATGTGAAAGATTTTAATAAGATGAGATCCCAGTTGTTGATTCTATTTTTCTCCCCAGTTGTTGATTCTTTGTGACATTTACTATGCAGTTGAGGTTTTATTCATAAAGTCTTTGTCTACATCAATATCTTCAACAGTTCTACCTATTCTATCTTCCAGCAGATTTAGTGTTTCAATTTTATCTTATTTTTTAATTAGTGTTTCAATTTTAATATGTAGATTTTTGATCCATTTGGATTTTAGTTTAGTGCATGGGAAAAGATAGGGGTCCAATTTTAATCTTTGGCATGTGGAAAGCCAGTTTTTTCAGCACCATTTATTAAAGAGGCTATCTTTTTCCACTAAATGTTTGGCACTTTGCCAAAGATAAGGTGGCTGAGTGTGTTTGGAGTTGTTTTTGATCTTTTTTTTTTTTGTTTTTTGGCTTTTTGAGACAGGGTCTCACTATGCAGTTCAGGCTGACCTTGAGCTCACTTTGTAGCCCAGGCTGGCCTTGAACTTGCAACGATCCTCCTGCCTCAGCCTCCCGAGTGCTGGGATTACAGGCATGTGCCACCACACCCAGCTTGTTTTTGAATCTTTTAATCTGTTCCACTGATCCTTGAGTCTGTTTTTTGCCATTACCATGCATATACCAATAAAATTAATTTAAATTTTTTTTTTGAGATAGAGTCTTGTTATGCAGTTCAGCCCAGCCTTGAACTCACTGTGTAGCCCAGGCTGGCCTCAAACTTAGAGCAATCCTCCTGCCTTAGTCTCCCAAGTGCTGAGATTACAGTTGTGCTACCATGTCCCACTATTAAAATTAATTTAAAAAGAAATCATATGGTTAACAAAAAAAATCCAGAAATGAAAAATTTAAATGCAAAGAATTCTAAGTATGTGAAATAATTTGTATATATGCTTTGAAAAAAAGTGAAAAGAATAAAATAGAAACGTTAACAGATGTTAACTTTGGGTATGAGATTTATCTAAAAAAAAAAAAGATTTATCTAAAAATATAATTCATCCTTGTAACACTCATAAAGTTCTTTAAACTTGGACATTTACAAAAACTTATAAAGTTTCAGAAAACTTGTAAATATGTAAATATATTTACAATATATTTTGTATCACATATAATGCAATACACAGGTTAGTCCTGTCTGGTTTTATTTTTGCAGACAAGGTCTTGCTGTGTAGTCCAGGCTGGTCTTGAATTTGTGGCGATCCTCCTGCCTCAGCCTTCCAAGTGCTGGGATTACAGGTATAAGTCACCATGCCTGACAGTCCTATTTGTTTTTAAGCAACATGTTATTCCAAAGTTTGAGCTAATGAGATTATGTTTTGTAATTCTCTGAAGACCTGAAAACCTACGGGCTAGTATTCCCTTCTTTTCAGAATATACTTTCTTGTTGATTTAAGAGTTAATAAATGAAGGAAAAACTTTTTATAAGAAATTAATAGGATTTTTAAATTAATAGTAAATAAGAAAAACATACCTTCAGAGACATAAGTGAAAGGCTTATTCCGAACAGAAAGCATCGTGAACAGGTTGAAAGAAAGAGCGACAAAAGTACCAACTAACAATCTTCCCCTAAAAAGAACAAAATTAACATAACCACTTTCATTGTTTTCTTGGTAATTTGAATAGGTCACTTCAGTATGTAGAGAGGCCAAGAGATGCTTTACTGGTTTGCTATTTCCAGAGACAGCATCTGAACTTGACATTCTGCGTATCATTTATTCCCTGTCTACTCCTGTTCCTTCATACATGGGACCAAAAAAAGGACTCTTAGCATTAACATCTTCTTACAGGTAACTGATGTTATAAATCTGAATCAATATTAATGGTATTTGGCTTATATAAGTCAGACTTTCCTGAATTAACTGATTAAGATAAGTAATGCTCATAAATTTGTTATATAAGTCAGACTTTCCTGAATTAACTGATTAAAATAAGTAATGCTCATAAATTTGTTATATAAGTCAGACTTTCCTGAATTAACTGATTAAAATAAGTAATGCTCACAAATTTGTTAAGCATGTGGGTGATATATACAATATTCTCTTCTATAGGTGCCAAGAAAGATTTGGGGGGTGAAATTTGAAGTTGTAAGACTATAGGGACCGGCTCAGCGGTTGTCTGTAAATAAGGAAGGACCTAAATTGAGATGGAAAGGCCACACTGTGACACATCCAAGGCTGGGGAACTGTTAAAGATGAAAGGGTTTTGTTTTTGCAATCGCAGGGAAATATACATCGTCACACTCTGAACTCTAATGCTGGACAAAGTAATTGTTCTAAATAATACATCAAATAATAATTGCAGTCTAACTTAAAAGCAAATTATATATTATATTAAAAATAAATCTCACGTGTGTATCTCAGGCTGCTCCAAAAAGCGTTCTGCACTAAAAGAAAAAAAATATTAATAAGTCCTATCAATTATACAACTAAAAGGCTACATTAAATACATAATTAATCTACTTTAAAGTTCACAACATTTTAAAATATTATATTCAACTATTATTAGCAGTGATGAGGCATAAGACTCACAAATTATCCTTCATATTTCATGTCAATCTTTCTCTACCAAACCTGTATCCATGGGTTTGTAACAGGTGTCAAAACATGTCTAACTGAATCTTTCCTTCTTTCATTCTCAGCTATGACTGAATTTAGTAACATCAAAAAGAGAAATAAAATAAGTGAAGAAGAAGGGAAAAAATTCTGAGAAACCAAAAGAAGTTATACTATCAAGGACTCCAGCATTTATCATCTTAATTTTTATAACCTTTCAAACCAGATGTATCGCATTGGATTTTATTATGTTTTCAAATATGTCATGGGTGGACGTTAGAATAATACACAAAAATATACCTTTCTTTTAATATAAAGAGAGCTCCCAGCTGTGCCAAGACCGTGGAGGCGAATACAGCTAGGACTTCCAATCTTTCAAATCTGAAATCAGAAAATTAATTCAATCACCACAACTTCTTTCAACTCACAGAACAGTCTCCACAGAATACATGGACAGTCATTCATTCACTCATCTAACAAACATATGTGAGGTCTATTACTGAAATGTTAGAACAAAATAGAGTTAACAGAAGAATAAAAATGAAAATTAATTTTAAAAAGAGCATCTATTTGTACAATGTATATTCCCAGGACCCACTTATGGGATGTCCTTATTTTTCTAGAAATAACTATTATCATAACAATAGCTAATACTTAATTTACCTATCTTATGTTAGAGATGGACAGCGCTTAACATATTATTTTACTTAAACCTAAAGCACTAATGAGCCAGGTGTGGTGGTGCACGCCTGTAATCCCAGCACTCGGGAGGCTGAGGCAGGAGGATCGTGTGAGTTCCAGACCAGCCTGGGCTACAAAGTGAGCTCAAGGCCAGCCTGAACTGCATAGCAAGATCTTGTCTCAAAAAAGACTTAAAAAAAAAAAAAAAAGCACTAATGAGGATGAGGATTACTTCACTTTCTTTTTTGGAAGAGATAAGAACTTGGGACACAAAGAGGAAAAGTAAATGTTCACAGTCATATGGTTAGCAAATAGAAAAATATGATTTTCAAATTCAGATACTGATTCCAGAATTCATAATTTTAATCATTTGTTCTATTGTCTCTTTTTTCTATCCACAACTGCACTTAGTTATGAGTATTCATAACTAAAACATACACTCCCTACATAATATGCTGGAGGTCAGGGCTGTTTTCTTATTCATCCTGGTTTTTCCCATTGCACATAGACTAATACTACCAGTTCTTAGGTAGACTAATACTACCAGTACTTAGCATTTGTGCTGCTGAAGCAAGCACAACTTGTGGTAAGTATACATGTTTAAAACTCCCCAAGGAAATAGTCAGGTTCAGAAAAGATAGTGATATTCACTACATGTTATAAGAGAGAGAGAATAATTTGTACAAAGGCCCTAAGGCAGGAATAAGTTAAAAAAAAATAACAAAACAGAAGATAAGTCAGTATGGTATAGAGGGTATGAGAGTGGTTAAATTGAAGAGTAGGCAGGGGCCAGCTCAGATGAATGATAAAGTTAAGGAAGTAAGTGAAGACTTCATCCTTAGTATGATGGGAAACAACTGGACGGTTCTAAAGGAAAGTGTGGAGCTGGGCGCGGTGGTGCACGCTTCTAATCTCAGCGCTTGGGAGGCTGAGGCAGGAGGATCACTGCTTGAGACCAGCCTGGGCTATAAAGTGAGCTCAAGACCAGCCTGAACTGCATAGTGAGACTCTGTCTCAAAAAGACAAAAAAAAGGAAAGTATGACAGTGAGTTAAACCCTCTGGCTGCTACATGGAGAATGGATTATTACTGGGTAAAGAGCAGAAGCATGGGGGACCAGTTAGGATGCTACACATTAGTTAAGGCAAAAAATGAAGGTAGTTTGGTCTGGTGTGACTGTAGTGGAGACAGAAATGTGGATGTGGGCTTGATGTCATTGCAGGCTGCTCTAACACATCTGATAATGGACATATGTGAGTGATGAGAGAAAGTAATCAAGGAAAATGTCTAGAAATCTTTGCTTGAGCAACTGAGTGCCGGTGATATTTAGCAACATGGGTAAAACTACAGAGGACCAGAGTTTGGGAGAAGAAACCAAGAACTCTATCGTATATTTAAGATACCAATTTAATTGTCCATGTGAAACTGTCAAGAAGATAGTTTAGAGTTTTTAAGGCTGGAAAGCTGGATTTTGGAATCATTAAATATAGCAATACTTCAAGTACATGGTTAATTCCAATGCTATCTGAGTGCTTATTACTGAATTGCTCCTGCCTTTCTGTTCATTCTAAGCAAGTGAACCAAAATGAGACCTTCCATGCCCTTACCTGAGCTTGTGCTGTATCTACAGTAACTTATCTAAGACTGATGTATGGGCTAGGTGTGTAGCTCAATGGTGGAGTGTATGCTTAGTGTATGTGAGGCCCAGCATTCAATCCCTAGCACTGCAACAAAGGACCATGTTTGCTCCAAATGCAATCAACAGCTTTTTCTCATGATCTTCTGAACTAGAGCTGGAGAGGTCAATTCTTCTCTAGGATGAAGATGAAAAGAGATGAGCTAAGGTCTTGCTGGGAGTTATTCCAGGTTGGTGGAGTGAAGGGGTTTGAGGGACTAAACTTAACATGCAGAGAAAAGCAGGACTCAGATGTAAGAAAGAGATAATAAAAAAAGAAAAGAAAGAGACTTTATCCACAGTGTTCTGGCTCCCATGCCAGGGACTAGAACTGTTTTCCCATAGCTTTGTGACATAATTATCAAAGTCCCACTATTCCTCCTAAACCATTTCAAATTTTGTTTGTCACCTGCAAACAAAAGATTTGACTTAGAGTAACAGATTTCCACATGTGGATATCTGTGCCTCAAAAAACTGGTTATTAAAGTAATAGTCTGACTCTGTCAAATGTCAGTGGCATCAGTTATGAATACCCTTATTTTGCATTAAAATTTCAGGTTGTTTTATGCCTTTATTTAAGGAAATAAAACCTAATTTTGCTTAAAAGAATATAATCTTGGTGACTGGTATGGTGGAGAAAGATAAGTGTGGCCCAAGAATTTCTTTACTGAAGTAAAAATTTTCATTTATTTTATTACCTTGAATCTGGAAGACACTATGTATTTTTTCTAATACATTATAAAAATCTCTAATATAAAAGAATATCTTCCAATGTTCTTTTTCTTTTCTTTTTAGTACTAGGACTGAAACCGGGGCATTGCAGATAATAAACAAGTACTATACCACTGAGCTACATCTTCAGCTCTTCTAATTTATTTATTTTTTTATTTTGAGAAAGGGTCTAAATCACTCTGGGTGGCCTTAAATTTGCGATTATCCTGCCTCAGCCTCTTGAACTGCTAGCTTTATTGTCATACATCACCATATCCAGCTCTAACATTCAACTTCCAATAATTTTTTTTTTTTGTGTGTGTGTGTGTGGTGCTGGAGATAGAACCCAGGGCCCTGTGCATGCAAGGCAAGAACTCTACCACTGAACCACATCCACAACCCCATCAACTTTCAATAATTTCTAAACTTTAGGCACAAGTCTCAAATTTTTCACTGCTATCACAAATCTGAAATCTTAAGATAAAAATCTATCTGCACCAAAGTAGAATATTATATCACATTTACTTTAACATCTAGGGATACACTTACATTAAAATCCTTCATACTTCCACTAAGATTCTCAAAATATTAATATAATGTGATCATTTTATGTTAACATTTCTTTATAAAACATGAGAACTGAATGCAAACATTCCACTTTAATATAATTTATGTTTTAAATGTTTGTATTTCTTTTCTAGAATCCTCTCAGAAGAGGCTTCTCTATGTTCTTTTACCATTTAATCATATGTCACTAAGCAGGCAGTATTTATTTCCCAGAAGTCCTATAGTTTGTGCTTTTTTTTTTTTTTTTCCTCCGGTACCGGGAACCAAACTCACGACCTTGCGCTTGCCAGGCAGGCGCTTTTGCCTCTGAGCTAAATCCCCAGCCCCTTTTTTGGCCTTTTTGAGACAGGGTCTTGCTATGCAGTTCAGGCTGATCTTGAGCGTACTTTGTAGCCCAGGCTGGTCTCAAACTCGCAATGATCCTCCTGCCTCAGCCTCCTGAGTGCTGGGATTACAGTCGTGCACCACCACGCCCGGCTATAGTTAGCTCTTGAATACACTATTATTCTAATAACAATAAATTAACAACAAAAAATCATTTGAACTTACCCAAATGAATAGACAGGGCTAGGTTTCCTCATCATTACCCAGTAACTTATTAAACATGTTATTAAACTGAGTAAAAAGAAAAAATTAGCATTAGAACTAGAGCTAGAAGAGAACATGCTGAGACAGTTTTCAGAATTCCTAAATTGCTGAAAGTTAACAGTCATCAGTATTACTATGAATTCTAATAACTTATAACTTAAACAGTTTTAACAGGTGAAGAAACTGCAGTTATAATCCATAATAAGTCAGCCAAATAACATCAAAACCATACTTTCTCCAAGCTTAATGGTTTCCTTAACTGAGAATAATTTTTAAAAGATACAATAATGGTAATATATTTTATCCTAGCATATACAATAAATTTTAATACTGGTCAGCTTTATTTAATTTTTGTTAAAATTTAAACTAAATATTAGTAACATCTGGACCCTTTTTCTTCAATACCAGGAAATGAACCCAGAGCCTTCATACTGAGCTATCTTGTCAACACTTTGTATTCTGCGACAGAGTCTCACTAATCACTGTTACCCAAGCTGGGTTTGAACCTGCCATCCTCCTGTCTCAGCTTCCTAGAGTCCTGGGATTCCAAACATGCACCACCACATTTGGCTGGATATTAAAAAAATACGTTAGATTTTATAAAATATGTTAATTTTCCAAGTGTAGTGGAGGTTCACTCTAACATAACTTATTATAGTATGAAGTGCAGTAACAAGTATCTATCTGTCTTATACTCACTTTAGTAGGTTTACTTACCAGATTAATGAAGACATACTTAATATAACACTCTTTTAAAAAAATTTTTAGTTTGATCAGTACATGTTTGCAGCACAAAATGATGACATTCCTGCGTGGAGTTGGCACATGTACATAACACATCTCAATTCTTTTTTCATCCTCTTCTCTTCCCCTGACCCTCCCTCTCTGTCCGTCTCTCATCTCCCTTCCCATTTACGAAAGAGCTATCTCCCTATCTCCCATTATGTATATAGACAGGGTCTTGTTATGTTGTCCAGGCTGGCCTCAACTACTGGGCTCAAGTGATGTCCTGTCTCAGCTAAAACATCAATATCTAAGTATGCATTCTGCAATCCTTATATGCAAATATGAAAGGGTCCATGGAGCAGGGAGCCAATAGGCTGTCTGCCTGGCTTACAATTCATTTCTTAGTTATTAGCTGTCCCGTCACACACACACACCCCACCTACACACTTACAGTGTTACAGTTGTACACTCTTTTTGGGTTTTTTTTTTGGGGGGGAAGGGGTACCAGAAATCAAACTGAGGACCTTGTGCTTGCCAAGAAGGCACTTATGCCACTGAGCTATATCCCTGCTTATAGTTGTATGTTCTTATTAAATGACCCTGTTTGCAAACCACAGATCACTGGCAGGCAGGCACCTGAAATACTTGACCTACACCAGGCGAACTCCTGATCTGAAAAAACCTGGAATTGGAATCAAAGTATTCCACACTCAGTTTGAGTGTTTTCTTAGACAGTAGAAATGCAAATGTGAAAGCTGCGAACAATGTGTATACGTCTATCCCTGGACTTGGAAAGAAAGGACTCTGATTTATACGGAAGAAATGTAAGAGAGCCCAAGCAAAAGACAGCCACAAATGAGAGATGGATGGATTCCTGCAGAGCTCTAGTCCTGCAGCCCAGCTAAACTTGTGTCCTCAGATTCCATGAAACACCCTTGAACAGCCCAAGACAGCTCCAATGGAAGTCTAATAGTTACAGTCCCCAAGTATACTTCATACTCACCATGACAAAGTTCTTACTGTGCTGATGTCACTTCAAATTCAAAAGCAGCAGCAAAATATAGTATTTACACAGAAGCTACACTAAAAATCTCCCTAGTCTTGAATGACTAGAAAATATTTGTATTCCTGGAATGTGCAAATGAGAATCCTCAGGGCCAGCCTGAACTATATAGTGGGATCCTCTCTCAAAAATCCAAAAATAAATTAATACATAAAAATAATAATTGTTGGCAAGGATGTAGAGAAATTCAGATCCTGATAAAAGTATTGCTGGTAAAGAAAAATGATGTAGTCACTTTGGTAAACAGTGCAGTAATTCTTCCAATGGATAGACAGAGTTATCCTACGATCCTGTAATTTCACTCCCAGACATATATGCAAGAGAAATGAAAACCTTCATCTAAACAAAAACTTATACACCAATATTCACAACAGCATTACTCATAATAGCCAAAGACTGGAAACAATCCCAAATGCCAATTAACTGATGGACAGATAAATAGAATGTGGTATAGCAGTATACTTCCACAATTAAAAAAGCTACTGACAAAAAAATTAAAAAATAAAAAAAAATAAAAAAGCTACTGACATGAGTGACAACAAAATGGTAAAAACCTTGTGCTCAGAAGACATACAGGACTGTATATTAAGCTTCCATTTACACGAAACATCCAGAACAGACAAATCTAAAGTGGAGAAAAGTAGATGAGTGATTGCCTTTAGCCAGAGATGTGAATGGAATCATTAGTGAGTAATGGCTAAATTTTTCGGTTTTTTTTTTTTGAGTGACATATTTTTGAGCTAATGAAAATGTTAAAAAATTGATCATAATGATGCATGTACACATAACTCTATGAATAATTATTGTAAGGTATGTGAATTAGATCAGTAAAGTCATTTTTCTTTTTCTTTTTCTTTTTTTTTATCTTTTTGGTCTTTTGAAACAGGGTTTCGCTATGCAGTTCAGGTTGGCCTTGAACTCACTTTGTACCCCAGACCACCCTTGCAATGATCCTCCTGCCTTAGCCTCCCAAGTGCTGGGATTATAAGTGTGTGTCACCATGCCCAAAGCCATTTTCCAAAAACACAAAACAGTACCCATTTCCCCAGCATCCTCAACACAAGCATAATCTAAATATTTTGATATTGAAGCTTTTCTTTTCTTTAGACCAGGTCTCACTCTGTAGTACA